ATTTTGTAGGAAGCAGCCACCCCAAGCCTCCCCAAAACAGATTCTTACATTCTCTAACCCTAGAACGGAGGCTTGGAGGATTAGAAGTTCAGAACAATTTCAGGGAGATATTGGTTTTTTAATGCTTATGAGGAGAACTTGAACGGAAAACTGTTAAGTAGTGTTATAGAGGAATCTGATTAACGTGGTTCTGCGTGGAATTAAGATGTTGTAAGATGGAGCCCAGGTAGAAGTTAGAATGAGACGCCCAGCAGAGTACATTCCCTGGAGGACTTCTAATGCTAGAAGCAGGAGCTTGAGAAGCTTGTCCAGAGCATGTGGGGGAATGGCCAGGGGAATAGTGTCCTCTTTACTCTAGGAATATGAGTAGCAAGCAAAATGCAAAGCCTCCCCACAAAAAAAGAAAATATACTTCTAAAGCTCATGACAAAGGCAATGCCCTGAAAATGAGCTCCCATTAATGTGTTAAACTGAATGTTGAGTGGATATTAAGATGGAATAACAGGACGTGTATTAGTCAATTTCAGTTGCTATAACTAATGCCTTAGACTGGGTAATACATAACAGAAATTGACTGCTCACCATTCTGGAGTCTGGGAAGTCCAAGATCAAGGCACCAGCAGATTCCGTGTTTGATGAGGGTTCTCTGCTTCATAAATGGTAACTTCTTGCTATGTCCTCACCTGACCGAAGGATCAAACAGGTTTCCCAAAGCTTCTTCTATGAAGGCATTAATCCCATTCTTAAGAGTGGAATCCTTATGATCAAATCACTTCCAAAGGCTGCACCTCTTAATAGTATTGCATAGGAAACCAGGTTTCAATGTATTCATTTTGGGTGGACATAAACATTCGGCTCATAGCAGAGAGTACGATTCTTCTTTCTTTCTGATTTTCATGGCAGAAGGTGGAACTCCACTGGCTGACATTCCTCAGTTCTAAGTCTCTGCTCACTTTGTTCCTGGGAAGGTTAGTACATTTAACTGATGGTTAAATCGGAGGTAGAGCTTCTGGAGGATTGGTACCAGTTCTTTGTATGTTTGGTAGAATTTGGCTGTAAACTCATCTGCTCTCGGGGTTTTTGCTGTTGCTGATGGGAGTTTTTTTATTGATTCATGCTCACTATTTGTTATTGGTCTGTTCAGGATCTCTGTTTCTTCCTGGTTTAATCTTGGGAAGTTCTACATTGCCAGGAATTTATCCATTTCCCCTAGGTTTTCGAGTTTGTGGGTATATTGTTGTTTCTAGCAGTCTCTGATGATCTATGGTTATTTCTGGGGTATCATTTGTAGTGTCTCCTTTAGAATTTCTGATTATGTTTATTTGGACCTTCTCTTTTCATGGTTAGTCTAGCTAGGAATCTATCCACTTTCTTCATCTGTTTCGTTTTGTTCCTTGTTTGTATTGTTCTTTTTTCTAAATTTCATTGAGTTCTACTCCGATCTTTGAAATAAATAACCCTACATGCATGGCTCTTTGTCTTAGGGAAAAAACCTGCACTCAGAGAGCCGGTGTTTTCTGTAACCAGTGCTGTGAGTTGCACTGAGTCTCACGGTTGTGGGCTGTATTGTGTCCCCACCCCCTGCCCAAAAGACATGTTGAAGTCCAAACCCCAGGACCTCAAAATGCGACCTTATTTGTAAATAGAGTCATTGCAGATGTAATTGATAAGATCAAGTCATAAGTATGGGCTCTAAATCCAACATGAATGGTATTCTGATAAAGAGTAAATCTGGCCTGCTGTGGCAGCTCATGCCTATAATCCCAGCACTTTGGGAGGCTGAGGTGGGCAGATCACCTGAGGTCAGGAGTTCGAGACCAGCCTGGCCAACAAAGTGAAACCCCCGTCTCTACTAAAAATACAAAAATTAGCTGGGCATGGTGGTTAGTCCCAGCTACTCAGTAGACTGAGGCAGGAGAATCACTTGAACCTGAGAGGTGGACGTTGCAGTGAGCTGAGATCGCATCACTGCACTCCAGCCTGGGCAACAGAGCAAGACTCCATCTCAAAAAAAAAAAAAAGAAGAAGAAGAAGAAAGAAGAAAATTTGAACACAGACCTAGATAAACAAGGAGAAGGCCATGAAAGAGCAGAATTGGAGATCTAAGTGAGGCAGCCAAAAGCCAAGGCTTGACAGGTCCACGAAAAGCTAGGAAGAGACCAGGAAGAAAGGACCCCCGCTTACAGATTTTGGAGGGAAAAAGACCCTGCCAGCACCTTGATCTTCCACTTCTAGCCTCCAGAACTATGAGACAACAAATTCCTGTTGCTTCGAGCCATCTAATTTGTGGTACTTTATTATGGCGTCTGTAGCAAACCAGCACCCCATCCTCCCACGTGGCCTTCCTGATCCCTGAGACACAACAATATTGAAATTGGGCCAATGAAGAACCTTATATTGGCCTCTGAGTGTTCAAGTAAAAAGAAATGTTGCATGTATCTCACTTTAAATCAAAAGCTAGGACTGATTAAGCTTAGTGGGGAAGGCCAGCGCTGCCTGGGAGTGTAGGGGCCTGACTCTGGGCTCGGCGTTCACAGGCATACTTGGCTGTCAGCCCTAAAGCCACATTTTCCAACTTTGCTCTTTTTAACTTGATACTTTGCCCCCATCTGTCTCTCCTGGTTTAAATTTTCAAATTCTTTAGATCCCCAGCAGAGTTGAGAATGACATTTATGGGGAGTCCTTCAAAAACACAAACCTCACACAGCTAAATAAGGTATACCACACAAACCTCCACACTAGGGAGAATCTCTTAGGGGACAAAAATTGTCTTTGCAAGCACACGTTTCTTGTCCTATAACTTCCTTAGGTATTCCATATATATTTCCAACAACACAGCTAAATGAAAAGTTGTTGAAAGAAATAAAGTTAATGAAATCAAGAAGCTGTTGAAATAAAGAATGTTGACCACAACTGTCATATTACGATATAAATCCTAATTTTTAGGTTAAACATAGTACTATAATTGGGCTTCAGATAGAAAGAACTGGGAGTTTAAAAGGAGAGGCCAATGCTCAGCGCACTGTGGTAACCGCAGACAGGAAGACTGGCCAGGCAGCCGCCTCTCCGGCAGCTCAATGTAACATCCTCATTTGGAGATGAGAATGGGAGGTCCCAGAGGTAACAAACTACAGAGCTCATTTTCCATTTCAAAGTCCAGTTATCTTTCCAGGATTCCAAACTGTTATCGTGAAAATGCTTCACTCATTGCCAAGGAAAGCATTGCCATTTTACATGGCACAAGTCTCCCTTGCAAAGCTTTGCTCCCCTGATCTTTCTGCAGCCTCAGGAGATGGGAAGCACACAGCTTCGGCTCCTGATCAGGCCAAAGCGTCAGGACAGAACCAAGCACATTTACCAGGAACAAACAGCCCAGCTTCTCCACTGACCACGGCGAAGGGAATCAGTGGGAAATGAGACTCCTCGGCATTCTGCCAATTTTTTTTTTTTCCCTGAGACGGAGTTTCTCGCTCTTGTTACCCAGGCTGGAGTGCAGTGGCAGGATCTGGGCTCACCGCAACCTCGGCCTCCTGGGTTCAGGAAATTCTCCTGCCTCAGCCTCCTGAGTAGCTGGGATTATGGGCACGTGCCCCCATGCCCAGCTAATTTTTTATATTTTTAGTAGAGACGGGGTTTCACCCTGTTGACCAGGATGGTCTCGATCTCTTAGCCTCGTGATCCACCCGCCTCGGCCTCCCAAATTGCTGGGATTACAGGCATGAGCCACGGCGCCCGGCCCTCTGCTGATTTTTAAGTCGACCTCCACTCCGTCTTCAGAAGCATCTTCCTTTGCAAACTGGGCTATACCGTGATTCATTGCTCTGCTCACAGGGACCCCTCACATCTCTCCGTCTCTGACCCTGGAAGCAAGTTCTCCAGCATTTTACATCTGGCCACAGACTGGGTGAGGTGTGAGCAGCTGGAGGATGATTCTGTTCCTCTCCGGAAGCTGCTCCTCTACCCACAGAGTGGCCCTGAAGGCTCCAGGGAGGCGTAGCAAATGCATTTCCTTACTCTTCTGTTTCCATCATAAATCACAACAGGCAGCACCACATGCTATGCTTCACTTTCAGAGCTGCATAGAGTTCCCAGGTCAGCTAAGGGCATCTCTTCTGTGTTGTGCATACTTTATTTATTTATTTATTTATTTGAGAGAGTCTCACTCTGTCACCTAGGCCCGAGTGCTGTTGTGAGATCTCAGCTCACTGCAGCCTCTGCCTCTCAGGTTCAAGAAATTCTCTTGCCTCAGCCTCTTGAGTAGCTGAGATTACAGGCAAGTGCCACCACACCCAGCTAATTTTTGTATTTTTGATAGAGATGGGGTTTCACCATGTTGGCCAGGCTGGTCTTGAACTCCTGATCTCAGGTCATCTGCCCTCCTCCGCCTCCCAAAGTGCTGGAATTACAGGCGTGAGCCACTGCACCCGGCCCAGACTTAAGCTTTTAAAAGTAGATACACTCCCACAAAAGCAACTGTTCGCTCAGCTACAGGCATGCCTCATTTTACTGTGCCCTGCTTACTGCTCTTTGCAAATGGCGCACTCTTTACCAACAGAAGGTTTGGGGCGACCCTGTGTCAAGCTCTTGACACCATTTTTCCAACAGTGTGCTTACTTAGTGGCTATGGGTCACATTTTGATAATTCTTACAATATTTCAGACGTTTTCATCATTGTAACTTCTATGATGGTGACCTATCGTTAGTGATATTGCATATTACTACCGTAATTGTTTTGCCTCTGTAAGGCAGCAAACTTAATCTGTATCTGTTGTGTGCATTCTTCGGCTTTACTGACCAGCCATTCCCCCATCTCTCCCTGTCCTCAGGCCTCCCCGTTATGTGAGATGCAAGAATATTGAAATTAGGCCAATTAATAACTCTACAACAGCCTCTACGTGTTCAAGTGAAAGGAAGGGTCGCACAGCTCTCACTTGAAATCAAAAGCTAGAAATGATTAAGCCTAGTGAGGAAGGATTTTGAAAACTGAGACGGGCTGAAAGCTGGGCCCCTTACACCAAACAGCCAAGCTGTGAATGTAAAGGAAAGGTCCTTGAAGGAAATTAGAAGTGCTACTCCAGTGCACACAGGAATGCTAAGAAAGTGAAACAGCCTTGCTGCTGATAGGGAGAAAGTGCGAGTGGTCTGGATCGACCAAACCAGCCGTGACATTCCCTTAAGCCAAAGCCCTAATCCAGAGCAAGACCCTAACTCTTTTCGATTCTATGAAGGCTGAGAGAGGTGAGAAAGATACAGAAGAAAACTGCAGCGCCAAATTGGCTCATGAGATTGACAGAAAGACGTTGTCTCCACACATAAAAGTGCAGGGTCTGAAGCACCAAGTGCTGATGGAGAAGCTGCAGCAAGTTATTCAGAAGGCCCAGCTAAGATCATCGATGAATGGATTTTCAATGTAAACAAAACAGCCTTATTTTGGAAGAACATACCATCTAGATCTTTCTTAGCTAGAAGGGAGAAGTCAATGCCAAACTTCATAGCTTCGAAGGCCAGGCTGACTCAAAGTTAAGTTAAGGGTTAATGCAGCTGGTGATATTAAGTGAAAGCCAGTACTCCTTTACCATTCTAAAAATCCCAGGGCCCTCAAGAATGATGCTAAATCTACTCTGCCTGTGCTCTGGAAACGGAACAACAAAGCCTGGATAACAGCACATCTGTTTACAGCATAGCGGACTGAATATTTTAAGCCCTCTGTTGAAACCTGTTCAGAAAAAATATATATATTCTGTTCAAAATCTTACCGCATGTTGACAATGCACCTGGTCATCCAAGAGCTCAAGAGACATACAAGGAGATTGTACAAGGAGAGGAATGTTTTTATGCCCGCTAAGACTGGGAGTCATTTCAACTCTCAAGTCTTATTATTTAAGAAACAGATTTCATAAAGCTGTAAGTGCCATAGATTGCAATTCCTCTGGAGGATCTGGGCAAGGTAAATTGAAAACTTTCCGGGAAGATTTCACCATTCAAAATGCCGTTAAAAGCATTCGTGATTCAGGAAAGGAGGTCAAACTACCAACATTAACAGGGATTTGGAAGAAGTTGATTCCATCCTTCATGGGTGACTTTGAGGGATTCAAGACTTCAGTGGAGGAAGGAACTGCGGATGTGGTGGAAACAGCAAGAGAACTAGAATGAGAAGTGGAGGCTGAAGATGTGACTGAATTCCTTCAATTTCATGATAAAAATCTAATTGAATGGAACAAAGAGAGTGATTTCTTGAGACGGAATCTACTCGTAGTGGAGATTCTGTGACCCTGTGGAAATGACAACAAAAGATTGAGAATATTCCATAAACTTGGTCAGTAAAGCAAGAGCAGGGTTTGAGAGGCTTCACTCCAATCTTGAAAGTTCTACTTTGGGGAAAACGCTATCCAACAGCATTGCATGCTACAGATGAGTCTTTCCTGAAAGAGTTCATCACTGCAGCAAACTTCATGATTTTCTTACCTTAAGAAATGTTCACAGCCACCCCAACCTTCAGCAACCACTGCCCTGATCAGTCAGTAGCCATCAGTGAGGTGACACCTTCTACCAGCAAAAAGATTACAGCCTGCTGAAGGCTAAGATGATCAGCAGCACTTTTTAGCAATAAAATGTTTTTGATCAAGGTATGTCCATGTTTTTACACATAATGCTACTGCCATTGTAAAGTACAGAGTAGTATAAACAAAACTTTTTATTTTATTTTTTTTTTTTGAGACGGAGTTTCACTCTTGTTCCCCAGGCTGGAGTGCAATGGCACGATATTGGCTCACCACAACCTCCGCCTCTTGGGTTCAAGCATTCCTCCTGCCTCAGCCTCCCGAGTAGCTGGGATTACAGGTGTTCGCCACCATGCCCAGCTAAGTTTTGTATTTTTAGTAGAGACGGGGTTTCATCATGTTGACCAGGATGGTCTCGATCTCTTGACCTCCTGATCCACCTGCCTCGGCCTCCCAAAGTGCTGGGATTATAGGCGTAAGTCACTGATAAACAAAACTTTTATGTGCACTGGGAAATTTGTGTAGCTGTCTTTATTACAATATTCACTTTATTGTACTGATCTGGAACTAAACTACAGTACCTCTGAGGTATGCCTGTATTTGGGAATAGTTATTCTCTTCAAAGGGAAAAAAATGCACATGTAATTAAAGTTAAAAATGCATGTTGCATCCTTCTCTCTGCTCCCATCACTCTCTAAAACCAGCAGAGGTCGGAGAGAGAGCCAAATGATTCTTCCAGCAAGCCCATGACCATGACCCTTAATTGTCAGCTGGTTCCATATAGAGCACATAACAGTCAATGGTTTGTCTTCAAACACGTCTTAGCTGAGAGGGAATGTAGACTTTGAATTCAGACACTTTTAGCTTTGAATCTAGCCTCTACTCATTCTGAACTGCTTGATGAGATATTTAACCTTTCTGATTTTTAAATTTTTTATCTCTAAAATTCAAAGAATATTATGTTTCCCTATGGAATTATTGTGAGATTAAATTGCATTGTGCAATGTACTTACCCTCTGTAAGTGATTCTGACAAATGTAACACTTATTTGCCCAATCAAGAAGGCGAGACTGGGTGTGGTGGCTCATACCTGTAATGCCAGCACTTTGGGAGGCGGAGATAGGAGGATTATTTGAGGCCAGGAGTTCAAGACCAGCCTGGGCAACATAGCGAAACCCCAACTGGACAAAAAATTACAAAATTAGCCAGGCGTGGTAGCGTATGCCTGGAGGCTGAGGTGGGAGGATCACCGGAGCCCAGGAGTTCGAGGCTGCAGAGAGCTATGATCTCGCCACTGTACTGCAACCTAAGCAAAACAGCACAACCTCATCTCTTATTTAAAACATGTCAGGCACTGTTCTAAACTGTAATATCGCTTCACTTCATCTCCACATAGGCCTGCAAAGTGTTCTACAGACAAGGAAATCAAGACGCAGGGAGGTTACGTAATCTGTCCAAGGTCACACCGCAGGTAAACAGTCGAACCAGGACTCCATTCCAGACAATCGCCCGTCAGTCCATGCTCCTGATCATTCCACTGGGTTGTCTCTTGCTGCGTAGTGATAATTCCCGTGGTCCTGACTCCCAGTTTTCCCTTCTAAAGGAAGCTCTTTAATCTCCCTTTCCCTGTTGCCTTGAGAAGGCGCTGCTGCAATTTCCCACACGTCTGTCAATCATTGTTCCTTCTCCAAGACCCTGAGTGGTGTCTCCCGCTTCTCTCCTCCTCTTAGGGTACCCTCCCTCCTTCTTGGTGCTCCATGCGGGCCTTCTTTCGGTTCCTCGTGCTCACCGTACTTCCTCTTGAGCTCAGAGCACTCCTTTCTCCCCATTCCTCCCAGAATGCCCTTCAGATCTCAACCACACTGTTATCTCCCCAGGGGAAGCCTTGTGGGACCTCCCTGAGCAGGTGGATTTCCGCATATGTACAGCTCCAGGGATGCTCACACTCAGCTTCTGCCTGTAGAGTGAGGGCTAGATGCCCGGTTTTGCTTACCCTGTACCCATAAAGCCTGGTCTAGTGCCACACACGTTAGGAGCTCAATAAATATTTGCCGAATGAATGGGCGAGCTTTGCTCTGTGTTTGGAAGTGGCTGGCTGTGTCGTCTTCCCACAGCTTCTCTTAACTCACTTCTGCTGCTCCCCAGAGGCTTGGAGAAACCGTCAGGAAGTCTTTGCAGATACAGAAAATGTCCTATTGTAGTAGAGGACTCAGGGATCACCTTTCTTTCATCATTCAAAATATAACTCAAAATACTATTCATTGGGAAATGCAAATTAAAAAAAAAAAAACAATGAAATAGGCTACACACCTATTAAAATGGCCAAATGCAAAAGACTGGCAGAGAGGGGATAGATGGAATGTCTCTGTACCTTCCTCTGAATTTTACTATGAACCTAAACTGCTCTAAAAAAAAAAAATGAAGTCTCAAGAAATACTATTAGTTACAACCTTGAAAGCACGATCGGCATGTTGAAAGGGCAATAGAGTACACGAGGCTCTATCCACGCTTACCTGTGCCTGCACTGCAATCCACAAATCCTCGCCCAGCGCTCAGTAACAACCGCTCTGATTCAAAATGAGTGGAATATTTGCAAATCCTTTATAAGAGGGTTCCCTGCAGAGTTTGCTTTCCCTCCAGCTTGCGCCAGAACACTATTGGATTTCAGATCTTCTGGACATGGCTCAGCTCATGGCAGCCAGCAGCTCTCCATGTTGCTGCAATTTGTCCTATGCATGGTGAGAAAGAGACGAAATTCCAGTGAAGGAAGTGACGGGAACTCTTTGCCTTCCTGCATTTACTGTTCTCTTAACTTGGGCATCTTCAACTTGAAATACTTGGCAAGCAGTTTTTTTAACTTAAGAGCTATTTTATATTTTATTTTACTCTCTGAGACGTTCGTATTCCTGATCATGGTGAGAACTCTTTTATTCAATCACAGAGAATGTGGCATACAAATATTTTAACATTTTAATTAATTGCATTTTCATTATGCTTGTCCTGAGGCTTCCTGGGCTGAGTGAAATGTATTAAATCTCAAAGAGAAAAGCCACGACTGCAATTAGCTCCTAAGTGGGATCGGTTTCAGTTTTACATGGAAGAAGCATTTTAATGTGACCTTAGTGGCACAGATAGTCTCTGGAGGGCTTATTGTAATGACTGTCCAGCCTCCTGGCCCCAAATTGGCAGTACTTCCCCAACACACACACACACACACACACACACACACACACACACACACACACTTACTTAATGCCCGTCATTACTCCACTATTTCTTTAGCTCTTGAAGGCTTTCTGGCCTTTTAAAATACCACTCCAAGGTATTAAGTCTTATCAGTTCATAGCTTTGTTATCAGCCAACACCTTAGCTGACAACCAGCTGAGAGTGAAAGCATGCCAGGAATGTGACCTGGATGGGTGCTGGGCCTGGGGGAGGGGAGGGCAGTTCTCAAGGGGAGAAGAAAAAGGCTGTGGGGACAGGGGAGGGAGAGTCAGTGACAGCCTGGGGCGGCAGGATGCTGGCCTTTGCCGCCAATAGGCATCTTTTGTTCAGTGCTAGAGTTCAGCTTCCCAGACAGAAACACCTCTGCCCAGGGAGCTAAGCAGCTGCAGGAGCCAGGAAGGGCTCCACTCCACCCATGCCTTCTTCATTCTCTGCACAGCCTGGACAGAGCTAAAGGAGGTACCACTGACCCTGCTGCCGTCCTCCAGACCCACGGCTCCTCCCACTTCTTGGAGGATGAGATCGGCCTCATCCATACTGACCATGCAGTTCACCTATAAATACCAACGCAAGCCAGCTAGCAGGGCTGGGATATTTACTGCATCTCAAACAGCATTCTGAACGCTGTGTGCCCATCATCTGATCGAATCCTCACTGCAGCTGTGTGAGTACATGACAGACTCCAGTTGCCCTTTAAGAACATGGGTTTGAACTGCAGGGGATCACTTACATGTAGATTTTCTTCTGCCCCTGCACCAGAGACGGCAAGACAAACCCCTCCTCTTCCTCCTCCTGAGGCTACTCAGAGTGAAGATGATAAGGATGAAGATCTTTATGGTGAGCACTTCCACTTCACAGATAGTAAATACATGTTCTCTTCCTTATGCTTTTCTTAAACCATTTTCTTTTCTCTAGCTTACCTGAAGAATACAGATAGAATAGGTATGTTATACAAAATGTGTGTTGATTGGCTATCTATTGCTATCGGTAAGCCTTTCGGTTAACAGTAGACTATTAGTAGTTAAGTTTTGGGGGCATCAAAATATATACAAGGATTTTCAACTGTGAGGGGGTTCCGTGCCTCTAACCCTCGCATTGTTCCAGGTTCAACTATCTGTGATTCACCATCTTCTACAAATTAGAACTGAGGTTAAAAAAAAGGAAAGCAATTTTCCCAAGAGCACATAGCTAGTATATGGGAGAGATCCTATGAAACAGGGTTCAAACTCTAACCTGTCTAACTCCAGAGCCTGGGATTTAACCACTATACCTTTTAACTTCTTTATGTTTATAAAGTGCTTTTTCTAAAAGCTAGTATTTTACTTGCTGTCAAAAAATTCTGGGAAATACAGAGGCTGCACATGCTCTATGATTTCCTTCTAGAAATGTAAATGCAAGGACAGAAACTTAGTGGCCCCGGGTCCTCAGTCAACTGCAGAGCTTGGAGAGACACATACCCCCAGGTCCCAACCAAGACTTCCTGTAGGAAGACCATATCTTTCCTTATCTCCTTCAGTAACACAAGTCATATTTTCTTCTATGTGCTCATTTTGGCATTAGTTCTATGTAGTCATCTCAATATCTGCAAGGGATTGTCTCCAGGACCTCCTGCAGATAATAACATCCACAGATGCTCAAGTCCCAGATATAAAATTGTGTGATATTGGCATATAACATTCACACATCCTTTGACATGCTTGAAATCATCTCTAGATTACTTAGAATACCTAATACAATACAAATGCTACGTCAGCAGTTATTATACTGTATTATCTAGGGAATAACGACAAGATGTAAAAGTCTGTACGTATTCAACACAGACACAATCGTCCTTTTTGAAAAAGTATTTTTGATCAACATTGGTTGAATCTTCAGCTGTGAGATCCACAGATCACAAGGCCCATCGTATCTACCACCAAGAATATGTCTTTGACAGAGGTATACACAGCAAAACTTGATCCATTCAGTCCATTCATGGGCACAGCTGTGTGTTTCTGGATACCATTAAGGTAAAAATTATGACATTAGGAAGCTCTACTCAGGGGGATGGTATCCTCCATGATTATCCTAAGCGTTCCCTAAGGCCTCCCAGGGTCACTGAAGCTCAGGACAGTCCCCTGAAGAAACAAGGCAGAGGGGCCAGAAAGTGGACGCCCGCAAAGGAGCTTTAACAAGCAGCTCCAGCTTTTTATTGACTTAAAGGAAGATGGAGTCAAGAGAGAAATTCCAATAAAACTGTAAGTAAGTCAGAGGCTTGTTTTTGTTTCTACAGATTAGTTATCACACGTTTCCTGTTACTAGACTTAATTTTGGTAGTGTGTAATTATAACCACAAACCTACCATTAAGCAATGAGCACTAAAGTCTATTTCCTGATGAACTCGAGAAAGGGCAGAGGTTAATTGGGGCATGGCTAGTTAAAATGTCATAAACTTAAAGGTATAGCTTCTCACCTTCCCATAGGCCCTTGTGACATTAACAGAACCAGGGACGGTTCCTCAGCTAGACACGTGAATATCTTAGTTTCAGAGAAACCTGTCTAATATGTCTTAACTGTGCTCTGCTAAATAAACGACACAAACTTCCTGAAACCTTAAGAAAACACAAAAGGCCCTTAGTCTTAGAGTCTGGGCCTCACCAATATGACCTTACATCCCTGCCCTTGCTACAAAGAACAGAAGCAACTGAAATTTATACTCATCATCAATTACACAGAATCGGATCTGTCACCAAGCTCGAGAGCTGAATTTTCCTGGGGAAAATGAATAGCATATATTAACCAAAAGTCTAAAGGGGATTTAGAAGAAAGACAGAGGGAACTCCAGAAAAGAGTTACAAAAGGGCCTGTGTGTAGCCACAGATACGCACTGAAAAGTAAGTTTCAAATCACTTAGCTTTGCTAACTGGAAATTCAATCAATGTGTCCAAAGAATAATATATATATAATATATAATATATATTATATTATATATATTATAAATTATATATATAATATATATATTTTTATATACTATATATTATATATATATAATATATATAAACAGGTTTTTTCAAAAATGCAATTATGGATTTCCATTTAGAATTTCAGTTAAAAATGATGAGAATGATCATTGATAGCAGAAATAAAATGAAGAGAACAGCTCAATGCCTAGGTATTTTCTTTCCAAGATTTTCTTTCTTGAATCAGCAAACCAGATTGGCAGATGCTGATAGAGTCAGGTGAAAGTTGCACTGAAATCCATAATATGATAGTAGGCAAATAACCGCTGGGATAGAGTATTTACAAATAATTTTCGAGTAGGGTAAACCAGGATGACTGCTTATACAGACTTCAAATCATATTTTTTATTTTTAATTAATTGCCTAAATTATTTATTTCAGCTTTCATTAAAACAAAGAAACAAACTTGTCCCCAAAGCATTGAGCTGCTGAGAACTTTGAAACCTTTCTAGAATCAGCTCAGCATATTTCTGAAACCCATATTCCTGGGACAAGAGGAGAATGTGTCAACAGAAAAGACTTGTGAACTAATTTCTCACAGGGACAAGCCAAGGAATGTCTTTGTCAGAAGACACCCACAGCTGAAGGAGGACTTTTATGTTGCTGGCTCATTCTCTGACTACTCATTCAGAGCTTTGGAGGCAATCTTTCCAACAGAATATCTTACTTTACTTACTGAGAAAGGGTCTGATATTTTAAATTATTTGAATCATCTAGTCTAAAAAACTTCCATTTTAACTGAACGAGTTCAAAAATGCCACTAGGAAGGGGAGAGTACTGGTGTTTTCTACATTTGGGAAAATAAACCAAAAGATGCAAAAGTTTTCCGTATTTATATCTTCACATATTTTTACTCTAAGAATATAAATCTCAGACTGGGAAGGCAGTCTAGTGCTTAAAATGTTGTCCTTGTATCTCAGATGCAAGAGTGAGTTCTACAAAGGAATATGTTCAGGATTTATATCACTTACTAAGAGAATCTGACTGAAAGAGGGCACCTCAGGAGGCCAGAGCCATAATCCATGCAGTTTCTGAAAAAGGCACTGGGTTTTGTTATGCACAAACCGAGAAAGATCAGATTGCCCAGGCCACCTCAACTCTCAGGATTATCCCACAATGAACCACGTATCCTGCTATGCAACTTCCTTCCAAACAAAAAAAAAAAACTAAACAAAAAAGATTTCCCTCCCTGATAGAATATATTTAAATAGAAATTTAGAAAACAAAAATACAAAATATGTCCATTAGGACAAGTGAAAAAGCAGGCCAGACATGGTGGCTCACACCTGTAATCCCAGCATCTTCAGAGGCCTAGGCGGGTGGATCACTAAGACCAGGAGTTCGAGACCAGCCTGGCCAACATGGCAAAACTAAAAATACAGAATTACAAAACTCTACTAAAAATTGTAAAAATACAAAAATTAGCCAGATGTGGTGGTAGGCACCTGTAGTCTCAGCTACTCTGGAGGCTGAAGCATGAGAATCACTTGAGCCTAGGAAGTGGAGTTTGTAGTGAGCTGAAATCACGCCACTGTGCTCCAGCCTGAGCAACAGAGCGAGACTCCATCTAAAAAAAAAAAAAAGGATAAACAAAAAAACAAAATGCAAAAATGCATCTTAAAAAAAAAAAGAAAAATATATACTGAAAAATAAAATAGGCAAGAAGAAAATATGCCAAAACTTTATCTTTGTATGCCAGAACTGACTCCCAGGAATGGACAATTTTTCCTTGATACTTTTCTCAAACTCTCAAATTTCACACAGTTAAGTACTACTTCAAACGCCATTAAAAGGCATAAAATATGAAACAAAACCAGGAACTTCCAGTGAAGAGGCACTGTAAGGCCGTGATTTGTCCAACTCCCTCTGCTCCATATATATGGCAATAACACGCTCAACTTTTAAAAAGAGAAAATTACTCCCAAAGAATAAAAGTTCAGTAATGATAACATATAAAGAACCCCAGATAATAGGAAAGCAGTTAAAGAATGCAAACAGAAAATTCACAAAACGATACCCAAACGCTCTCATCATGAGGTCATTGGAAATTAAAAGATGCTATTCTATATCCCTAATATTGGAAAAACGTTGTTAAAACTCCAAGTATTGTGAAGGATGTGGGAAAATGGAAGCACGCACGGTGCTAATGGTCACATCAGTTGATACGCTGCTTTGGAGACAGTTTGGCAACGTCTCGTTAAGTGTCGATAGGCTTTTGCTCTATGACTTGTGAATACTGTCACAAAGGGTGCCTTTACCATGTGGACACAAGAGGCATTGTGCTAGCATTTTTATTGCAGCATTGCTTGGAATATTGATCAGTTGGGAACAATCTGCAGTTCTGTCAATAGAGAAAAGGATCGATGAAATTGCAGGGTCTCATAAAATAGACCCACTTTCAAAGAATTAAACAAGATACAGCTATAGAAATATAGATCAATGTTGAAAACATTGATTTGAATAAGAAAAGCAAATTGGAGAATAATGTGCTGCATATAGCATGCTGGAACTTTCTGTTCTGACCGTTGGGCACTTGACGGCATATCCTACTATGGTCTGTATTTTTCAGAATGCTTGATCTATTTCATCATTTAAAAAATTTAGTATCCACAGGATTTATCAATCAAGAGCCACTGTTGATCTTAGCCAGAGTAAACTGTGAGGGGGCCGCAGGCGGGAGGCAGTGTGCGTCCCCAGCTTCTGATGAGAGCCCGACCTCCGCGGACTGGAGGCCAGAAGGTCCCTGGAGCGCTGCGAGGACGGGCCTGGCGCCCCGGCCGCACGGTGGGCGCGGGGGTGTGGACCAGCCGAGCGCCCTGGGAGGGCCCGGGCTGCGGCTGAGGCCCGGCGGGAGCGCAGGCGGCGGGGTCCCGCGGAGAAGCGGGGCGCAGACGGCCCGAGCCCCAGGGAGCCGCGGCTGAGCGGAGGAGGCTGGGCCCGGCGTGGCCGGCGCGGGGGGAAAGGACCGGGAAGACCCCGGGGCTGAGGCTGGGCCCCGCGTGGCCGGAGCGCGGGGGGAAAGGACCGGGAAGACCCCGGGGCTGAGGCTGGGCCCCGCGTGGCCGGGGCGCGGGGGGAAAGGACCGGGAAGTCCCCGGGGCTGAGGCTGGGCCCCGCGTGGCCGGGGCGCGGGGGGAAAAGACCGGTAAGTCCCCGGGGCTGAGCGGGGACCTGCAGGCCGCCAGGACGCAGAGGGAGCAGGCTGCGAGCTGAAGTCCCAGCACCCGAAGGCCCTGACGGAGGGGACGTGGAGAGGACACGGGTGTCTCACGTTCCTTTTGCCAAAAAAAGAAAAAAGTCGTTTAGGGCCAACAAACGCCCGTGAGCAGAAGTGGCTTCACCCTGCCCTGGTTCCTCACGTCCCAGGCCCTGGGAGAAGGCCGGGCAGTCCAGCCACAGGACACTTTTTTGCGTGATTTCAGCTCTGGTTGTAGAGGCAGGATGTGCGCGTGCAATGTGTCGTGCGGGAATACGGCGCGATGCTGAGGCTTGGAGTACGGATCCCATCACCTAACATTAAGCACAGTGCTCAACAGCAGTTCTCTTGTTTTTTACTTTTGTTTTTGGGATGGAGTATCACTCGCCCTGTCACCCCGGCCAGAGTTCAAAGGCGAGATCGCGGCTGCCTGCAGCCTCCGTCCCCCAGGATCAAGCAGTTCTCCTGCCTCAGCCTCCCGAGTAGCTGGGATTACAGGCACGTGCCACCACACCCGGCTAATTTTCGTATTTTTAGCAGAGTCGGGGTTTCACTACTCTTGAATGACTCAGGTGACCATTTACTGAGGCCATTTCTGTCTTCTGTTGAAGATGTGCGGAACTGGATGGCTTCCCGTTATTTCCGGGGTTTGCAGCCACTTTCTCCCCTTCTGTGTGATGGAATGAATTTCCCCGTGCTGGCCAGGTGGGTCAGGTGGGTCAGGCTGGTCTCAAACTCCTGAGCTTAACTGATCCACCTGCCTCAGCCTCCCAAAGTGCTAGGATTACAGGTGTGAGCCACGGTGCTCGGCCACAGTAGGCAGTTTTGAACCCCACCTCCCCTTCCTCCACCCTCTAGGAGTCCACAGTGTCTATTGCTCCCAGCTTTGTGTCCATGTGTGTTCAATGCTTACTTCCCACATGTCCATGAGAACATGTGGTATTTGGTTTTCTGTTCCTGGGTTAATTTGCTTAGGATTTTGGCCCCTAGCTCCATCCGTGATTTCATCCTTTCCTGTGACCGCATAGTATTCCATGGTGTGCGCGTGCCGCATTTTCTTCATGCAGCCTACCACGGATGGGCAGCGGGGTTGGTCTCCTGTCTTTGCTATTGTGAATAGCACAACGATGAACATACAAGAGGCTGCACATTTTCTGTGTAACTTGCAGAGGTAGATATTTTAACCGCAGTCCATTGAAACTCATGTCTCTTTGCACCCCAGCTTCTCTGCTGTTACACTGACCACCGTGTCAGGCAGAGATGCCGGGCACTTTTGGATGCTGCTTAAAGAGATAAGTTGAAGGTACTTTTCATTAGGATCTAGAGGGATATATTTATATAGTTTGCGTCACTTCTGTGCGTAGGTATTACTAGCCATGCAAGGTAAAAATGGCTTCCAGGAATAATCCCGTCCACCCTGCTAACCCACTTGCCATCCTGGTACAAGCCAGGGCCAGAAGTTTCATTGTTATGAGAATGAGTCCCACGGTCCCCAGAGACAGGAGAAAGTGTTTGAAAATACAAGTGGAGCTAGTCTGCAGAAAATCCTTCTACCATCTAACAAGTACAACAAAAATCAAGGAAATATAGGAGGAAAGTATTTTAGCAGCATATTATGGATTAGTCTAAAAGGACATTGTCGTCTACATTTTGTAATGTCTGTGGAATTTCTAAGTTTGTGATGCAATGTGATTTTTTTTTCTCTAAACAAACATCCAGCCTGGTGCAGTGGTGAACACCTGCAGTGCCATGTACTTGGGCGGCTGAGGTGAGAGAATGCGTGAACCCAGGAATTCCAGGCTGCGGAGTGTGACAATTGTGTCTGTAAATAGAGAGACCCAGCCAGGGCAGCATGGAGAAACCCCATCACTATAAAAATCATTGATAAATGTTCAATTTCATACCTAACCTTATATCAAAGTTGTATAAGCTTCAGGGCCCTCCAAAATTTGGATCCATTTCTCGTAGTTAAAAGTTTGACTCAAAACAATAATAAAGAGTAATAAAGAATTAAGTGTGCTTCTCTGTCTTCAGTTCACAAGGTTTTGCCTTTTCCCGAAAGAAACACAAGCTAAGCTTTAGCCAAATATAATTTATTTTATTAAAATTTATGTAATCACTGTGTTTTTTAAAAAAAATGTAATCCAAAGAGCAGGGAATGAGACCAAAATTTTGAATATAGCAATTCTTGCCAAGTTTAATGACCTCTTAATGGTATGAGAGTTTCCATGATTTTGTATTTCTAATTGCTTTTTTATTATTGTTGAACAAAACTCTGCAAAACAAGAAAAAACAATAACCATAGCCTTTTTTAAAAAATATGAAGATACTGGAATTCTACTTATTATATAAAGACTCAAATAATTCTGTAGAGCACTCTATCCATTTAAAACAATCCGAAAGTTGTAGTCACCAGGATCCCACAGTCCACCTAGCCTATCCGAGGGGAAATTCGTTTCATCACGTGGAAGGAGAAAGTGGCTGCAAACCCCAGAAATAATGGGAAACCACCCAGTTCTGCACGTTCTTCAGCAGAAAATGGACATGGCCTCAGTAAATGATGGCCACCTGACTCGTGCAAACACTCTATTACTTAATACTATGTTTTTAAATGACCTGGCCATTCCAACTGGAAATTTGTATTAAAATGTCCCATTTAATAATAGCTTCAGATGATTTACTAGGTGGGTGCAAAGGGAATTGCAGTTTGAGGCTGATTATTTTGCCTTTCCAACAGACATTCCTTCATGTTTTAAAGGAACCTTCTGAGATAGATGGCCTTTCTGTTTTGTTTCATTTCTTAGGATAAAGTAACAACTCACTCACTCAATAAAGGTGGGCTTATTCTCAAATTCTCCGGTGCCTTCCTGCAAAGCACATTGGAACACGAAGCTCGTCCGCGCCTTGCCTCAGACCCCTCCCATCCACACCCTGTCTCAGGGCCCTTGGTGAAGCCCCCCTAGCTGCTACAGATGGAGTCGGACACCATCCATCGAAGTCTGCTCCAAGGCAGGGAGCATTTTCTGGACAGAATGCATCTCACTGCTCTTGACCACCCATTGGTATTTGTGGATTGAGGTGTCCTTTTTTGTCAGAGTTTACTAATAACTGAAAGAACGTTTATCAGATGGATTTTTGTTTTCTCTGGACTCACCTGCCTATTTCTTTTTTCTTTCTCCCTTTTTTTAAATACGGAAATAAAAGCAGAAATTGCTCAGTCCGATTTCTCCAAATTATGAACCATGTGCTTTCCAAAAATGGTCCACTTGTGGGACAAGGCACCACGTCACCCAGGATATTTGACAGGGAGCAAAGAGGCGACAAGATCTCGGGGCTGCTTGGGACCTAAGAGGCTATTCATTCCCATGCTTGTGTTCACTTGATGCCCAGGGAAAATGGGATTTTCCATGGACCAGCAGACAGGCATGAACTCCAAGACCTCTCATTGTCCGTTCATTGGTGTTTTCATCATGCAAGGCTATGCTTGCAAGTTAATATAAAAATTAAAATTATAGAGTTTAAAGGAAAAACTTACTTCTACTTTTTTTGACTTATGTGCCCTTTAAGAGACAGATAATCTAATGTCACCTCTCCAGTCTGGCCCCAGAGTGTCCTCCATTCTCACCCCCCACCTCTTCCCCTCTACATACCCTGTGCAGCTGGCTCCCGCGTTACCCTAGGCTATTCCACGTGTTTTCTGGCCTTTAGACTTTTGCTCAAGCTGGGAATCCTCCTTTAATACCTTCCCTCCTCCTGCATAGACCAAGCAAACCCTGCTAACCCTCCAAATGTTAGTTCAATTCCTGCCCCCCAAGGTGTGCGGAGACAGGTGTCCTGGAGTGTTTCTTGGCACGATTCCTTTGACACTGATCTGTAACACCGTGGAGAAACCTTTTGCTGTCACTTTCGGTGATTCTTACCACTCGTACTCATTTTTTGCATATTTATGCCTTAATTTCTCAACTACATTGGAAAACTCTTAAAGGCAGAACCCTTTATGACATAATTCTCTGTACTCTCCTGAAAAATATTTGGTACAATTCTTTATTTATAACAGGTACTCAGTAAATATTCACACATGCAACCTAATTTGTAGGACGGGCAGATGGATAAGTAAACAAATCCACAACCATGTGTAACTCATTGAGTTTAGGTCTGTGAATGTGAAAACAATGTCATTATCTGACATGAACCCAAACAGAATCCTACTTAACTAGTTTTTCCCACCCCAGTGCTGACTATAGAGAGCTGGTATATTGTCCTCACTCATTTTATGTGTATTTAGCTGTGTCTTGAGGGATTCTTTAATTCAGAATGTTATGGCTTGTCAAGAACGGCTGAGCACATGGCCTGCAAGGAGAATCCTGCATTTGCTGGACACACTTTCACAGAATGACCTCTACAGGAAACACAGTTGTTCTCATAAGAATCCCAGATAATCTAGTAACCCCAGCCAAGCCAAGGACGTCATTTGGTCTGTCTGGATCTTCTGAAGGCCTCACATTCCTCTTGTGCTAGAACTCCTGGACAGGGTCATTTCCTCCAAGGATCACTGTAATTGAGTGTATCTTCGTTCATGCACTAACTTTCAGAAGAGTGATAAATACTAAATCCTTGTCAACTTTACCATCTACAGGAGTGTCTAGAAAGGCAGATCACAGCTGGCTGTGGCTGGCTGAGATCGCAGGTGCACCTCCGTGCCGAGTGGCCTGGGTCTGTGGTCTTCTTCACGGCTGCAGTCTCTCAGTGGATCAGATTTCTCTCCTGTCTGGGAACCACGGGAGAAAGGCCTGAACACAAAAACTCAAAATGCTTGAAAAATTTTTCTCTTTTGTCTTGAAAACTTGACGAAAATGTCAAGAAAAATCAAATCTCCCTGGACTGTCTAGAAATATTTCCTTATCTAAAGAGTCCCTTAAAGACATTTTTTAAGATTTCAAGGTAAACGATCTCCATGAGAAAGTCAAGATCCGTTCAGATTATGAATTAAAAGCCTCTAAATAAGTCCTTTATAATATCAGAAATACTTCATTATATGAAAAATGAAAAAAGCTGCCTCTTCATAAGGGAGTACATCAAAATTGCCTCCTTCTCATCTCCTCATATTGAATCATGGACCGTGTTTTAAGAGCTGTTCAAATATCTAAGGTGCATATCTATTATGGTTCCCAATACTCTTCACCTGGCTGATGGTTATTTGTAACAACATGTTTCTCCACTGGGTCTTCCTTGAGGACCGTATGTGTGTCGGATTTGCCTGTGCATCTCTCGTATCTGCAATGCAGAAAGCTCAGGCCTGGCTGGTCTTGAACTCCTGACTTCAGATGACCCACCCACCTCGACCTCCCAAAGTGCTGGGATTACAGGCATGAGCCACCACGCCCGGCCCAGTTCACCTTTCTGAGCTTTTTGCATTGCAGATACTCAATAAACATTGCTTATATAGAGAAGTGAATCAATGCTTTCTTATATTTGGTAAGACCAGTAATTTTGGTGTCAGAAGTAGGATGCCCAGAACCAATAATCATGAACACTGTCACTGTTTAATTCCTACAAAGGACTCTAAACAACCGAACAACTAAACAACACAGAACTGAACACTAAAACACACATCTAAACAACTTATGCATGCTCAAAATGTGCCGGAGCCCAACAGCAGGCTTAGGACACCCAACTAATGAGTCCACCTCTACTGCAGAGAAAGGTATTCTGTTAGCAACCTTCATCTATGCACTCAGACATCCAGTCCCCCGATAACTTGTTGGGGACAGAAAAAAGTGTCAGGCACTGTGCAAGATACTAAATAGATAATACAGAGATAAGTTAAGCACAGACTTTGTCTTCAAGAAGCTCACAGTCTATTGGAAAAGAGAGACGTGCTGAAAATAAATACAATTCAAGTGACAAATCAGAAAAGGATAAAGTGCTAAGGGTTTCCAATAAAGGGAGCATAAAAATGGAGTTTTTCTTCATTTTTTAGAGAAGAAAGAATAGGCTTTGAAGAAGAGCTGGTGTTTGTACAAGTAAAAGTGTGCCCAAATGAAAAGCAAGGAAATAGTATTTTAGGGCAAGGAAATACCCCGTGTGTGTTTGCAGGAAGGTTAGAGTGAAAATGACAGTATTAGGAAGAAAATCCAGTTATTGTGGCTGAATATATTGAGCAGGACAGAAGGTCAAAGGCTAACAATGAAGCCACAAGAAATAAGTTGGGGTCAGGCTGTGACAAACACATGACAGCAACATTCAAAAGTTTGGAAGCTGCCAAAAAAAAAAAAATCGTTGAAGTGCAAGAAAAATTGAATGAAAGGAAGAAAAGATATGAAAATCATAAACAGGAAGGAGAGATATCAAAAAGGGGCAGCCTATGTGTAAAGTGCGTCAGCTGTGTTTCTTTGATTGCTTAAGTTTCCGAGAACCAGCTCTGGTTCTTAAGCCCAGAGGGAAGCTACTGGCAGGAGCCCGGGAGCTCACTGCACTGTCCAAGGAGGCTAGAGATCCAGGCTGGGTCGGAGCAGAGTGCTTGCCCGGGTCAGGGGAGCAGGGAATACTCAACAGTCTCATCCAGACACAATCGCAGAATAAAATGCACTCCAGCCATAGTCAGACTTTTTAATCACTCTGTTGGAAATTCAAATTCCAGCATGAAGACTCACATTCCTTAGCAAGGAGAGGGCAGGACTCCCAGATAACCAGTCCCACCAGAATGCACTCAAGGAGGGAAATGCAATTCCCCAAAAAGAAATCAAGCTGGGGTCGATGACGGGCAGCCCAAAACACAAAGATGAAGACAGAAAGTTCACTGCAGCAAGCGACATTCCAGAAGGGAAAACCAGCATCGAAAGAGAAGAAATAGTCAGAGTTGAGAGAAAGTCTTCCTAGACCAGAGAGAGACCTGAACCTGGGCATCTGTAATTCACAACAAGTAGCTCGTAACATTAACGAAAAGAGTGCACTACCCAGGTATATCCCAGCAGAATGTTCCTGGTGCCCCAACTCTTGCTCTGGGAGCAATGCAGGCATTTTGCAAGGGGAGAAATGAACAGAATTGCAAGGGGAGAAATGAAGGCATCTGTGATTCCTGTTAACTTAAAGAGAGGGATGGGGAGGGAAGGAGCCATGCCCACAATTTGAGCTGAACTTAAGTGAAGAGAAGTGAAAGATCCCTGCCCAGTCTTCAAGTATCTAATGTTCACGGCTGGAGCAGACTGATGTTGAATCGGAAGGGCAGAGTGGTAGGCACCACTTGTATAAACAGCGCATGATCTGGAGCCAGGAGGGTGACAAGGGGACCCTGACAGCTTTCAATAACAATATGAAACGCTGTCTTCCCCAGGAGCAGAGAAACCCTGAACATGTCACCTTTAGGAAAATCATTCTCTGGGTTGATTTTAAGAGATTTTAAAAGAGTCTCTCTCTGCAAATTATCACTTGTTTTTGGAAAGGGTGAGTGCGTGTTGCCTGAGACTTTCCCACAGTGTGAGTGTGTGAGGCTAGGAAGATGGAAGAAGCACATCTTCACCCCCACACGGAGAGGGACCTGGGGAGGAACTCGCCCTGGGGTACACAGCACACTCTGTGCTATTTCTCTTGTCTCAGAAGCCAGAACCCACCAGGGTCTACTGTGCCCAATTCTGTGTATTAACCAGACCACATACACCATGCTTTGGAAAATGTGAGGCTATGAATTAGTGAGACCTCAAAAATGCCCTGGGGAAACAGGCTACAGTGTGAAAATTCACCCATCTGGACACTTACGTTTGGTTTGCTGCGTGCACATTGTACCTCGATTGAAGAATGGCTGCAGGGGCCAGGCCAGGAGATGCTCTTTCATTGTGTGGTGAGGTGCACTGCTCACAGTGCATCTCAGTTCTTCAGAACTGAAGGAGGGCCTCCCAGGAGAGTCAAGGGTGGGGACTCAAGGCAGAGCAGCAAGGCCCAGAAACAGGCTGAAACCAGGAAGGGACCCCAATCAAACAGATATTTTTTCATTCTTTTTCCCTTAGCCTCTCTGGAATACTCCACTGGGCATCGTGCTTAAGAATTGTTTCCTAGCTGGCACAGTGGTTCATGCCTGTAATCCCAGTACTTAGGGGGGCCAAGGCAGTAGAATCCCTTGAGCCCAGGAGTTTGAGGTCAGCCTAGACAACATAGTGAGACCCTGTCTCTACAAAAAAAAAAAAAAATTTAAATTAGCCAGGGGTGGTAG